CGCCACAAGGGCCTCTCCCTGCCCCGCCCCGAAACCTCCTTCCTCTGGTGCCCCCGCTCCCACCGTCCCCACCCACCACTAGCCACCTGCCCGGCAGCCGATGGCCATTAGGCCTCCCCTGCCCCGCTTGCTCTCCCGCCCGCCGCCGCCGTGGCCCGCCCCAACCTACTACCTTCGGCGCCCAGCAACCACTGGATCCGGCGGGATCCGTCTCCGCCGCCCGCACGGGTCCCAGCCACCCCCAGATCCCCGCTGCTCCTACCTCTACCTCCCCCTCATGGCCGCCTTCCACCTCACCGCCCCGCCCCGGCCGCCTTCCACCTCGCCGACCCCTGGTGACCCACTGCCTCGTTGCGGTGAGCCACCACCCGATCCCCTCCACCTTCCTCCCGCGGACAGCACCCCACCGCCGCCGCACCCAACCCAGCTTCTTTGTCCATCTGCTGGACCAGCATCGCTACCTACCAGCGCCACCCCGGCACGCGCCACCCCCGCCTGTCGTCGTCCCATCAAGCGCCATCGCCGGATACCTTTGGATCACGACAGCCGCATCCCCAGCCTCCCGCGACCCCAGCAGTCGGGTCTGTCTCCACCTTCTCCCCTCCTCTATATGCTTGACATGAAGGAGAGCCCCGCCTCGGAGAGGAAGTAGCGTGGGCTGCGGGCCGCGACGGAAGCGAGCAGCACGTGCCCAGTCTCTCTTCCTCTTCTTCAACGGCATTCTCCTCTAGGCCGCCCTACGCCCTTGTTCTCTTCCTCTTCTTCAACCGCCGCCACCGGCAGAGGAGGTCGGGTGATGACTCCGATGGCGCCAGATGGGGTGCAGTTCCCCTGGGATCTCCAAGTGGTTCAGTCGCCCCAGGGTTGCAGTGCAGTTCCTCGCGAGAGGCAGGCGGCGTCCCGAGCTGTCCTGATGCACACGGGCATGCAGTGGAGCACCTCCCGTTCTGCGATGTGTGGCTAAGATCGAGACTTCCATGCTCCCCGATGGAAGAGCACCTGCCGGCAAGCCCAGCAAGCCATCGCTGCAGCCGGCGACTACGACTATGCACAAGGGCATGCAATTCTGCCCACAAAGAAGTGCAGCTCGACCAGCGGGGACCTGCAGTTCTGGCCATGCCGTCGAAGGATTCTAACTCTGCACACGGGCGTGCAGTACTGTCCGTGGGGAAGTGCAGCTCGACCAACAAGGCCCTGCAGTTCTGCCCACAGCGTCGAAAGCTTCTAACTCTTCAATTGGGCGTGCAGTACTGCCGGTGGGGGGATGCAACTCGAACGAAGAACAGGGTCAACGCTGGAGGTCAGAAAGTTGGAGGTAGTTTAGGTGAAGCCCTGCGGAGATAGTTTCACCATCAGTGTCACCACGCCGTCGTGCTGCCAAAACTCATCCACTACCTCGCCATCTTGCTGGATCAAGAAGGCGGAGGACGTCACTGAGCTGAACGTGTGCTGAACGCGGAGGTGTCGTACGTTTGGTACTTGATCGGTTGGAGCGTGAACAAATTCGACTACATCAACCATGTTACTAAATGCTTCCGCTTACGGTCTATGAGGATACGCTGACAGACTCTCCCCCTCGTTGCTATGCATCTCCATGCATAGATCTTGCGTGTGCATAGAGTTTTTTTTGTTTTCCATGCAATGTTTGCCAACAATTTAAATAGGTTTTGTTGCTTGTCTCTAGGTGAGGTAGGACTAAACTTTGATGGTGGCCTTATCATTATCGAGAGCCACCCTCGGGTAACAATTGCTCCGCTGAGAGCTCCTCTCGGTAAAGATGTGGATCATAAATTTTTTAAAAACGCCGGCATCCATTTTTAGAATATGACAGCCACTATAAATCTTCTCTACTCGGAACTGGAAGATTCATAGTGACTGTACGGACACTTACTAATGAAGACCGAAGCTTAATGCGGTTGGAGTATTGAACTATTTAAACATGTCTTTTTGCTAGTCGGCATGCGAGGTGGGACTAAATCTTTGCCAAGAGCCACTCTCGGCAAAGAGTTGCAACCGTCACCGTGCCGTTAGTCGCAGCCGAATGTGCCACGTGATAAAACGTTGCCGTGTGTGACCAGATGGCCCTCGGCAAATAGTGCCTTTGCCGAGTATAGCCTGTTTGCCGAGCAATACTGTCGGCATTATCATGTGTTTGCCAATTTATTTACTTTGCCGAGTGTGGCTCTCGGTGTTCTATACATTTCCGAGTGCCCGTGTTTTAGCTCTCGGTGAAGACGCCGACACCCGGCGTATACGAAAATTCTAGTAGTGAGCTAGGCATCAACCATAATGGTAATAAAAATGAATACCTGAGCAATAATTATGAATCACAAACCAAGTCTTCTATGAACAGCCACCCACAACTCAAATAGGTTCAACAACAAGCATACGCGCAAAATAGCAGTGCACAGTTGAAACAACTACAAGTAACACGAAATAATTAAGTCTGAACACGGAAACACAATTCGTTTTCGATCTCATAATAAGCCACAATAATACTTCCTCCTTCCCAAAATAAGTGTCTCAAATTTAATACAACTTTATACGGAAGTTAGTATAAAGTTGAGAAACTTCTTTTTGGGACGGAGGGAGTAGAAGAGAATATCACACTTGACAAGAAAAAGCACACGATGCCACCAACAATAGTAGCAGTAGCATCACCGTAGTGGAGGTGGAACAAACAGCAAATGGCGCCTTAAGAAAGCAGAGGAGTCCCAGACACTATGCGCAATCGGATCTGTCCTTTTCCTTGATCTGCAATAATGAACACCATAGCGAAGCCTCTTCATTCCTTCATCTACATAACGAACATCATCTCACATCAGCATGTTGTAGTAATAAGATAATAAGAGACGAGTGAGGAAGCTAGTACAGTACTCCCTCCGTCCCATAATACAAGAACATTTTTTACGCTAGTGTAGTGTCAAAAGCATTCTTATATTATGGGACGGAGGGAGTAGTTGGCAAGTGAGTAGCTATTGCTTACAAACGTGCACATTTCTGGTAGGTCGTTCTCGGAGAGAATGCTGCCACTGTGTCCCTTGAATTGCAGAACATTGGCGCAACAACAGCAAGAAATCACTTGTGATTTCGTGGAAGCCGAGACGCTGGAGGGGCATGAGGAACTCAATGCCAGATGGGACCTCCATCATGCTGTTGAGGTTGATTAAGAATAATCTTTCCAGGTTTGCCATGGCACCTTGTTGTATATCTAGCTGCTTCAGATTAGGCAGGTCTCTCAACTGAAGAGTCTTCAGCTTGGGAAACCACCCCATGAGAAATGCTAGATGCTCTCCATTGTATGCTCTGGTGAAATGTATTTGCGTCAAATTAGACAGCCGAGAAAGCGATGGCAAAGGGTCTTCCCTCAGTTGTGACCAAGATAGAGACAGTCTATACAAGTTCTGCCCCCCAACAGGTTGGAAGAGAAGAGACTCATTCAACGCCCCTTCCGCCAGTCGCCCTCTCAAAACTAGCTTCCGCAGGTTTGGCAGGACATTCAACAAGAGAACCTCATTCTCATCACTGGCGCTCACAGAAAGGTTGGACAAATGCCGCATTTGAACTAGAGAGTCCCTAATGCGCCCACAGTAGATTCCCTTCACATTCCACAACCTCAAGCTTCTTAGTTGCCTCAGCTCACCTAAATGTCTAATAGATCCGTCATGTGCTTCCAATGCTCGGAGGGTCTGCAGGTTTGTCAGATTTCCAAGCCCACTGGCAATATGCACACCACTGGAACACTTAAATGCTCTCCAATTTGGATCAATTTTTTTCTCAACAAATAAGTTCCTAAGCTTCTTCAATTTCACAATCCCACTAGGCACCTCATGTATGTCAGATCTAGCAAGGTCCAGTGTCAACAAATTTGAAAGCTTGTCAACAGACATTGGAAGCATCTTCACTTTTGAATTACGTAGACCCAAATGGCGGAGATTGAAAAGATCTCCAATAGCATCTGGGATCTTCTCAATGGGTAGACCACTTAATTCTAACACTGTCATATATCTTGACTTCTTACATAGCAGAGGTAGTATAGTGAACGTTGGCACGCTATTGTCCACTGTAATGACAGTTCTAAATCAGTGCATACCAGATAATGTCTGATAAATATCCTTCGTTACTTTATGCAGTACCAGTCGACGTACATCCATCTCAAGTGATTTCCCACATTTATCCTCATATGTATCACCAAAGCAGTCCTTCTGGCATAGATGAACTGCCAATTCACGTAAGATATCATGCATTCTGAATTCTTTTATCCTGCCAAATGAGTTTCTCTCAACAAGTTGTATCATGTTTCTATCAATCAATTCCTTCAGATAGCCTTCGGCCACTTCTTCTAGAGTGCTTTCACCCCTCTCCTCGATGAAACCCTCTGCTATCCATAACCGTACGAGCCTTTTCCGTTTGAAAAGATAGTCTTCTGCAAATAAGCTGCAATACAGGAAACAACTTTTCAAGTGTGTTGGAAGGTAGATGAAGCTCAAATGCAAAACATTCCTTATGTGACCTAGCCTTGAATTATTAATTAACTCCCAACTCAGTTGATCATTTATCCTTCTCCATTCATCTATGGTTTTCTCACGCACACGCAAGAGGCTACCAACTGACACAATAACCAGAGGCAAGCCTTTGCACTTGTTAACTATTTCCTTGGACAATGGCTTCAACTCTGCTGGACATTCATGAATTGTATCTCTTGCGGGATAGGCTTTCTTACAAAACAGATCCCAAGCCAGTTCTTCTGGTAAAGCTTCTAGTGTTAAGATATGTCCTCGGGAGGCAAGTGCAGCAACATCAATCTACTACCCTTGTCATTATGAATAAGCGCCCTAGACAAGTCATCAAATGCTTCTGGAGTCCAAACATCATCCAATATGATCAGATACCTCTGTTGCTCCAAAAATCTCTTCAGTGTCACTTCAAGGCATGCGATGTCCATGGCCGCAGTGTTATATACGACATTGACTTTATCTCTAAAAAGTTCCTTGATTATATTCCTCAAGACATCTTCTCTGGAATAAGTTTGTGAGATGGAGACCCATGCATGACACTGGAATTTATCTCTCTCCTTCCTGTAGACATTTGCAGCTAGAGATGTTTTACCAAGCCCTCCCATTCCAAGCAAGGCTATGACAGAGCATTCCAAATCATCACATGCCACCCACTGCTCTAGTTTTTCTCTGTTTTTATCCACCCCCACTAGATCTTCTTCGTCAAGGGAAGGTGAAATATTTGCTAGATCTTGTGATCTCTTGACCATGTATTTTGAGCTGCTAGTATCCCGGTTGTTTATCATGGGAACCCATCTTTTTTTTGTCTCTGACAGGTGTGCAAGGTCTTTCTCTATTTCCTTCACCTTGAAAGCTATTTGGTTCAAAGAAAGCAGAGATCTTGGTTTTCTGAACCCTTTCTTCAGGTAAAAGCAATGCCTTGTATCCTGTTGCCGGCCAACTAGATACAAGTACTCATCCACCATGTCCTCCATCACATGTGCTACCTTCCTTACCTCCTCCAATCAGCCCTCATATACTTGATCATCACAGTTTCGAATGTCCATTTGATAAAGAACATCATGCATTACAAGAAGCTCTCTCGCAGCACGACCCATGTTGCCCTGTAACTCCTTTAGTTGCATGCGGTACTTCGCAAACTGAGTGCTGGCCTGGTCTGCCGCTCCATTTGCCAAGGCATTTCCGATCTTTTTAATGGCTAGAAGAATCATGATCTCTGCCATTACTTACAGAAATTGCTAGTGTATCACTGTTGGGTGGTTGCCTAGTTGTGTATTTTCCTCGATATCATCAGAATGACACTACAAATGAAGTGATGTACTATTAATTAAACTGTAAATGCATTCTCCTAGTAGCACGCACTTGCCGAAAACACTTTAAAACTCTCCACTCGCAGCAGAAAAGCAAAATAAGCAAAACCTTTCAAAGTACTCCTACTAAACTCTTTCATACTATTAATCTTTCTAACTCTAGCGCACATAATAAACAAAATAGTCCTCATTGGAGGCAGGTCCATGAGAATTTTAAAATGCTTGGGACTGTGCTATAGTCAAGCAAGAACGGGTGGCATTTGACCAATAACTGACCAAGCATGATCCACTTTCTTATTGGGACATCTATTGTATCGGATGTTGCAATTTTAATCAAGTAAAAGAAAGAGGGCTCCAATCTGAATACCTGCCAACTCGCAAATGTAACAGTTCCTGGAAACTTAGCTCCATTTTTATCCTCAATATGATTTTTCAGAAAAAAATCCTCAACATCTATTGTATCTCCAGAGGCATGGAGAAACAACTAGCTAAAGTTGTTGAATAAGCTGCAAGAAAGACGCATTACAATCATGAAAGTGAATAAGAAAACAGGGTTATTATGCCATAGCAGTCCTTGGGAGAAATCAAAATATCAAAACCATGATTTAAACGACCAAAATTAAAGGAGTCGTCATGTTCACTTCAGTAGATCCACACAACAAGGATACTGAATCCAGGAGGGTAGAAATTCCAAATTCCCATCATGTACTAAGTATGTCGCCAGTAAAAAGCATTATCTATAACTACGCTATTCCAGATTATTTGTGAATCAAAGAGAGACAATGAATGGCTACTAAAACCTGAGCATAATTGATAGCTCACCAAACCGTGGTTCCGAAAATCATGTTCCCGAAGGTTTCATTCCGTTTGGACTCCGTTTGATATTTTTTTTGTGCGAAACACTGAAACGGACAAAAAACAGCATTTCTGGGCTGGGCCTCCCGTTAATAGGTTAGTCCCAAAAGATATATAAAAGTGTATAATAAAGCACAATAATGTCCAAAATAGAATATAATATAACATGGAACAATAAAAAATTATAGATACGTTGGAGACGTATCAGGGTGCTCGCCCTCAACATCCCCAGGGTCATCACGGCTGATCTTATAGCACATTGCACCGCATATCGGGCATGCATTCAAATCCTCGTACTCACCGCGGTAGAGGATGCAATCATTAGGGCATGCATGTATCTTCTGCACCTCCAATCCTAGAGGGCAGACAACCTTCTTTGATTCGTACGTACTCTAATTCATTGTCCTTTGGAAGCATCTTCTTTAATTTTATCAGCAACTTCTTAAATCCCTTGTCAGATACTCCATTCTCTGCCTTCCATTACAGCAATTCCAGTGTGGTGCACAGCTTTTTCTTCTCATCTTCGCAATTTGGGTACAAGAATTTCATGTGATCCTCTAACATGCGTTGTAACTTCAACCTCTCCTTTTCAGTTGCGCAGTTTCTCTTTGCATCGGCAATGGCCCGACCAAGATCATCAGCAGGATCATCTGATGCCTCTTCTTCAGCTTCTTCCCACATTACCGGCTCAACTTCTTCCCCCATAGTTGTACCATCGTATTCAGGGAACCCATGGCCAGGATAGCTGTCGTCGTCCTCTTCTTATTTATTCTCTTCCATTAGGACCCCTCTTCTCCGTGCTTGGTCCAAACATTATAGTGGGGCATAAACCGGACTCAAACAGGTGCACGTGAATGGTTCTTGACTTAGAGTAATTCTGATCATTCTTACAGATAGCACATGGACAACACATAAAATCATCCGCCCGCTTGTTTGCCTCAGCCGCAGTCAGAAAAGTATGCACGCCTTTAACGAACTGGGGAGAGCATCGGTCATCGTACATCCATTGTCGGCTCATCTTCATTATAGAACACCGAAAATACCAAATTAATACAAGTTCATACACACTTGTTCTCATAAAACAACTCACACACTCTCTAGCTAAAGCATTTAAATGCAACAACAAATGCGATCAAGATCGCCACTAAGGTAACAATTGATCCAACATCATAATGATACCAATCCTCACTATCAATGGCATATTTTTTTAATCTTTCTAATCTTCAAGCGTATTTTCTCCATCTTGATTTTGTGATCATCGACGACATCGGCAACATACAACTCCAGTTTCATCTTCTCTTCTTCAATTCTTTTCAATTTTTCTTTCATATTCTCGTTTTCTTTTTTAACTAAATTTAACTTCTCGACAAATGGGTCGGTTGGAATTTCTAGTTCACATAGCTCCTAGATAAAAAATATCTATGTCAATTTGATGGGCATAATTGGCATAAACGCGAAATGCAACAAATAGTTATAAAAGAGAATATATATACCACATCAGAATCATAAACCGGACGAGGGCCGACGGGGACATCTATCAAGACCATGGCACTATGTATGACAAACAAACATACAAGTAAGAAAATTATACAAGTAACTATCTAAATCATACAAACATGATTTTTTTATATAAAAAGACAAAAACAAGAGGCTCACCAAGCTAGGTGGTGCCGGCGACAGGACGGGGTGCGGGCGATCGACGGTGATTAGGATGGGGACGGGAAGGCACTAAGTAAACCACACCTACATATGCAAACTAAGAAGTTAATTTGAGCTCAGATTGCATATAAATCAAATAAACTACCACGTATAATTACTTCCAAACTAAAACCCACAAATCACTATACTTATAGAGCATTGCAAGAGCTAATCTAGCAATGAGAGATAAAAGGACAAAGTTGCTAACGTTTGT